GCGCGTTCCATGGTCTAACTATGCTGTTGATAAAAAAAGCGTCTTATGTCACAGTTTTTAACTATTACGTTTCAAGAAATTGACTACAACCTGGCAAATTGTAAAGTTGTTGAAATGGTCTACATTGTTTTAAAGTTTGAAAACTGATTTGAATAATATTTTTGATAACTTTGAATGCTCAATGAGGTCTCCACTTACGCGGTGTTGTTCATTCTGGTAAATCTGAGTAATTGCGCTTCATAATGTAAACTATGATTAAAGATATTGTTTTTATTACATCATGTTGAACTAGCTAAAATAAGAGTGCAAAATAATAACTCCAAAAACTAGTTTGGATTTTGTTACAATAAGAAAATTGTCATCAAGATCAAAAATGGGATAAATTTGTGTAGAATCCATATTCATCTTGTTGCTAAACTATGATATGAGGTTGACCTAAACACCGTATTAGAAAACCTTTTTCAAGCACACGTTTTTGAGGTACTTTGTCAAAACTGTTACTTTTATTTAGCAATTGTAAATATTTTTGTTATGATTTTTGCTGGATAATCTGAAAAGCTAAACTTTGATAAAATAGAAATAACATCATTAGGACCATCATTAAAGTTCCAGTGTTGGTCAGTTAACAAAAACCATTTTAGGAAAGTATTTCCAAATTATTAAATTAAGCGTCTCGTTTGAGTTCTGTGCATGTAATAGTCAACAATTTTCTTTCTTTTTATTATTCTTTATACCTTTTCTTAATACGGAATCTTTAAAAATTATATATTTCTCATTTATTCATAGTTATCTTTCCTATTGTAATCTTGCATGGGCAAGTACCAATTATGGGAAGCTCAAAAAAATTTATAGCAAACAAAAACATGCTTGTAGGATTATTTTTGGCGTTAACAGAACTGTTAATGGTGAATCTCTTTTAAAGAAACTTAATGTGCTTAATATTTACAAACTTAATATATACCAAGTTATGCTATTCACGTTTAAAACAAAACATGCGTTATCTCCTAATATATTTCAGTCTTACTTTACCAAAATATCTCATAAATATCCCACTAAATTTTCATCTGATAATTTTGTTATTCCAAGATCTTATTTAAAACTCAATTCATTTCAAATTCAATACCGGGGACCATTTATATGGAAAGGTTTTTTAAAAAATATAATTAAAAATAAAATTCTTCGAGGCATCTCCTTAGAACAATTTAAAAGAGAATCTAAACGTTTTCTATTAGAAAAAACTTTCGATTTTAAAGATTTCTTCTAAAATCACCTAAAATAACTAAACCTGAAAAAGTCATCACTACTCATTTACTATTGTCTTGTGTATCTTGTTTATTTCTTATTAAAATAAAAAATATATATACTATTAATTTTGAACAGACAAATAACATTTATTCAATTTATTACTTGTGTCTTATATTTGTCGAACTAATATTGTATTGTACTTCAATTTTTAACCTTTTAGTTTTTACCTTGTAACTTTGAGACGTTAATGTAAACGGGGCTTGGCGATAAGACAGTTTATGTCTTCTTCTTGCTCCGGCCAATTTTTATACATGAATGGTTTTTTCTCATTGTAAATTTAATTATACGGCAAAGAAAATATAATAATATAATAATAATAATTATTAATAAAAAAAAAAAAGGTAAAAAAAAACTATTGAATGAAAAATGCTCATGCTTTTTCTATATGCTATTTGCAATTGTAATACACCGGTAGTAGGGATTATGCAGTTCATTTTTTATACATTCTTGTACTGCTTCTTTTATTCTTTTAGTTGCAGCATTCATACAAGTTTGTATACCAAACCATGTTAAAATTATAAAAAGAAAATTTTTTAAAATAATAAATTTCAAACACGTGAAAGCTCAATTTGAATTTTTGACATTATTCGCAGTGGTTAAGTGTTTACGCAATAAAAATGACTAACTTTTTCACTGATCATTCAATATGATATGATGCAATGTGCTAACCCTCAGTTCTAATTTATTGTTTATTATAAGTGATGGGTTACATACTTTACATTTGAGTGGTCCAAAAAACAAAATTTTTGAAAAAAATCTGCTTCACAACCCTAAATGTGTTCTATATAACGCGACGTTAGAATTATCTTGTTCTATCTCCACTTTCTGAAAAAATTGAGTTAATGATAGTTTTGTGTTTCTCAAAATAATGTCTTTCTACTGAATTAAAACCTAAGTTATACGTAAAAAAGTTGCGAAAAAAACATAAGTTATAAAAGAAAATTTATACGCCGTTTCCTAAAGTTTTTATTTTTTAAATCATTTTATCTCAAAATTAAAAATTGTGGAGATAGAACAAGATAATTCTAACGTCGCGATAATACAAAAGCACTAGGTTTACAATTTTTTTGAATAAAAAATATTTTTAGGGGTAGCCCCTGACCCTTAAATATTTAACGGGTCCCTAATGTTTTGAAAAAAAAAGTTCTTCTAAAATATGTCAACCTGGTACTCAAAAGTAGCAGCCGTGGCGCAGTGGTAGCGCACTTGCCTCAGAAACGTAAAATCCGTGGTTTAAACCCCACCTTTGGGCAAGTTTTGTAACATCGGTTGGGAAGGAGGCGTGAACTTCCTATTAAATGCTTTTCCGCGGTGCTCTGTGATAAGATCGTAAGGACTTCTTGGGGCACCTAAAATCAATATAAAAAAAAAAAAAAAAAAAAAAAGAAGAAGCGAAATTATATTAAAAATTCAAAAATATTAATAATTTTTATATAAAAATAATTTTTTCATACATCGTTGCATAAAAACTGTTGTTTTTAAGCTGAAAATTAAAAAAAGTCAAAATTTTCAATTTTTTTGTAAACAATTTTTTTAAACATCTATTTTATGTAAATTAATTAATATTTTTGAATTTTTTTTATATAATTTTGCTTATTTTGAGTACCAGGTTGACATATTTTAGAAGAACTTTTTTTTTTCAAAATATTAGGGACCCGTCAAATGTTTAAGGGTAAAAATATTTAAGGGGCTACCTCTAAAAATATTTTTTATTCAAAAAAATTGTAAACCTAGTGTTTTTGTATTATATAGAACACATTTAGAGTTGTGGACCAGATTTTTTTCAAAAATGTTGTTTTTTGACCACCCTACTTTACATTCAACATTTTCAAATATTTTTATTAGTCATATCAATATATCAATTCAAATAAAGTTGTTTTAAATACTTTTGTATTTTTTTTTTCAAAGTAACAACAAAGTAGAATATAAAAAAAATTGTTTTCAAAAACATCTTTATATAGCTAAAAGCTATACTTTTTTATCATACAACATAACACAGCATCATCTGGACACAGTATGTTGATGCTGTGTCGTGTAATAGTTGGTTAATGTTTATATTTAAAACTTTTCCAAAGATTCTCTTTTTTTTAAGATTAAACTTGGATTGATATCATTCTACTTTTAAATCATTAAATAATCTTTCTCATAACTTACTATATACTAAGAATGTGAACGATCATTTAAATTATGTATACTACAGTAAACACTCTATATAAGCAGCCTCTCTATAAGCAACATTCTTCATAAGCAAGCTTTATACAAACAACTTTTTTGTATAAACAACTTTTATTTTTAAAGTTAAATATTTAAGTCAAGTCCATCTTATAACATACCATTATTGCAACCACTAGATCAAAATGTGATAAAATCACTAAGCAACGCTATCGCAAACATCTACTTGCATGTGTTGCAGCCTTAGATGCAGAAGATGGAGTAGTTTTAGAACTAAAAAATGTAAATTTGAAAGATGTTGTTTATTTAAAGGTGCAGGCACGGAATGAAATTCATGTGTCAGTTATACAAAATTAATTTAAACATCTTTTTTCGTCAAGTGATGAATTTTAATAGAACATTCCATTCAATCACTTTTCAGAAGAAGATGATATTCTCTTGGCAAGATTGTATAATTCGATATTTAATGATTGTAATTAAGCAGATATTATGAATTATTATGGAGTGGGCAAATTATGGAGTGGGCAAAGGAACAAGCAAATCAAATCTTCCATTTAACCTTAAAGAAAATTCTGAAGTAGAAAGTGAAACTATCCCTGTTGAAGAAAATGAAAAAACGTCAGATGATTCTAATAAAAACATCAATGATGTTATAAATGCTTTTAATTTGATAATAGAATGTGCAAATGAAAATGACTTATCCTGCAAATGAGGTTCTTTTGTTACTAAAAATAAGCGAAAAAGCTATCATGAACAAATAAATGTAATTGTTTTTGGTTGTTTTGGTAATTATTGCCGTACTAAAACAAGGATTTATAAAAATTTGACTGATTTTTTTTTTAATATAATTAATAACTACGCTTAATTTATATGATAATAACAATAAAATGATTTCTTTTGAAAAATAAAACTGAATTTATTTATTCTAGTTAGTTAAAGAAATATTACATATATTTTCCAGATGGCAAGTATTTTTTATGCTCCTTTTTTCCCTATAAGCAACTTTTCCCAATAAGAATCTTTTTTATTTAAATTGGTTCAAATGAGTTGCTTATATGATTGCTTATATGACTGATTATATGAGCGCTCACTGTATATACTAGGAATTGAATAATCATTTAACTTATGACTAAAAAAATGAAGAAAAGCAGATGGTTAGTTATACACTAAGTAAATAGTTATAAATCAAAAAAATTAGCTTTTATATCTATTTTTTTGGTGAACATTAAGTCATATATTATTAGTGCTTAAAGAAGAGCATTAAACGCTTAAATAAGAGCATTAAGCGCTTAAAAAAGTGCTAATTAATAGCATTAAACTCTTTTTGCATTCTGTGAACAAAGAATAGTTAATCGAGCTTTATTTTTTATTTTTTTAGTTTTAGAAAAGATTCATTTTTAGACACTAACTACACCTTAATAAATAAAGCGTCTCATCCCGTATTGTTTGAAAATAACCTTATTTGCTTTTTTGACTGCCTTCACACTTTTATTACTGTATAATTCTTAAATTATATCATTTAGAAAAATAAAACAAGAAAGTTGCTTAAAGTTAAAATACCAAAATTGCCAAGACCACTGAGATTTTTCTAACGAGAACAATAAAAATCAAAATGAAGGTAAATGTTTCTTTCTTTTAAATATACAGAATATGGTTGAGTTTTTTCCGTTAAAAATGGTAAATACACAAAAAAACATCGAGTACAATACAGTACGTATTGTGATGGACTATACTGTAGCTTATACAGCGTTACACAAATAGCGTTTTTGCTTTTTACTGTTTTCACCTTTATTTAAGTGGAAAGCTCAACCCTAACTACAACTGGGTGAAGGGTGTAGGTTGTAGTTGTAGGTAATTAGTTGAACAGAGTGTAAGTTAAAGTATGGTAGATTTTTCGTGTACCGTTTATATAGTAAAAGCTCAACCCTAATACAGAATAAAAACTAAAATATTTTGTGACTCAATTAAAAAGTTTCTTTTATTTCATTTTTTATATTTATTTTATTTCAATTATTAGTTTGGTTTTATATATTTACTTTTCATTATAGAAATTTGTTAAACAAAAATGGATTAGAAATTAAAAACACAATTGAACTTATTTTTAATGTGTTAACTTTGCTTTTATTAGATGTAATAAGGTTACTAGTAAAAATCAAAAAAAAAAAAAGAAAGGGTTGCGCAATTATATGTAACTTTGGATAATCTATAATACTATTACTAATGCACAATTAGCTTAGCACAACAATATGCCAATGATGTTTTTTGTCATTTAGCAAATAAAAAGGACAAATATTTTACTTACAATAAAAATCACAATAAAAAAAAGTTCACTTAAACTTAAATTAAATTTATTAAATTAAAAAATAAATATCTAATTTAAAATAAATGTAAATAAGCAATTAGTAATGCATTAAGTCAGTATTGTATTAGATTAGGATTTAAACCTAATGATGGTAACAATTTGAAATTTTTTTATAAAAAGACCTCTTTTTTGTTACAAAAAATAATCAAAAGCGACATTAGCCATAAGTGAATCAATGTAAAAGACATTTTTATATATTTAGCAGTTTTGCGTTTACATTTTTTAAGAAATTTTCATCGGGGTTTTAAATGGTTGCAACCTCTGGGCCAAGATCGACATAAAATGAACAAAAAATCATAACTCCTTTATTTTTAAAGTTGTCAAATTGAAATTTTGTTAGTGAGTCTAGTCAACGTGAAGGTCTTTTTTTTTATTTTATTTGCAATTGCAGGCATCCTAAACACCCTAATAGAAAAAGGTGTACAGAGCGTCAGAGATTTTATACATAATTTTTGGTTGTTTTGAGAAACAGTTTTTCCCAGATTCGCAGCATTAATTAATTAAAATATTTGTGGCGTGTTAGACCCTCTTTAATAAACAAAGAAACCTTTATTTAATAGATATTTTATCAGAAATCAGAACAAAAATATTCATAACTTTAAATTAAAAAAAAAGTTACAAAAAAAATTTAATACAATCTTTGTTAAATTCAAGTTCTTTATTATATCTCGAACTCCTTTTTAGAGAGCTAATATTTGGATATGTACTGCACAATAATATTCGCATAACATCTTCATTTGTTATTTTTCTTGGGTATTTTCTCGTAAAGTGTTCTCTATAATTTTTAACGTCTTTATTTCAACATTCCTGAGCTTCCTCAGAAAGAAGACCTACTGATAGTGGTTTATCTCGTACAACTTAAGAACTATGAATTAGAATTTTATGCGCAATTTGAGGATATTGGAAACCATGATTACAAAGAAATGTAGAACTCTGCCGTTTCTTTGAAATATTTTTCAAATTCATTTTCGTTAATTTGATGTTTGCACGATAAAACACAAAGAATTACGTAAAAACGTTTCATGAGATTTATATCTAAACCAAGTATTTCAGCAAACAACTAATAGTTTCGGAATACTTTTGTGCCGCGTTTCCATCATTTGTTGTACCTGAACGGCTGCTTTTTGGTACATCTACAGTTAAACCTAAGTAATCTTTCATTTTTGTTGAACAATAATCTTTTTTTTATAACAATTTTTTTATCATCCTCTCCTTTAATTTGCTGTTTTTCTAATTCAATTCTATCACTTATATGAAGGCAGCATTCAAAGCACCTAATCCATGCATGTAATGTGCTCAATCCAAGGGGTCAGTCCATAAATACTACATATTTAAAAGGAACTACCTAAAGGCGAAACTATAGTACCACTTTTTTATCAACCATGGTGCATTCTAACTTATGTTTGATAACAAAGGAATTAAAGATCGTTGGTTTCAAGTTACTGTTTTTAAAGGATATATATTCATGTATAATAACCTCAGCACTTTCTTTTACATATCAAAATTGTACTGGACGGAAGTTTAGTGTATAGGATCATTTTTCATTAGTCTATAGTGATTCGCCAGATTCTTCAATATAAAGTTTAATTAGAACGATGCATCGACATAACTGATACTTATATTGTCTCCTGTACTTGATTTGTATAGTGATTGACGGTTAGGTCCATAAAATCCTACTTTGTGTATAAAGACAAGAATGGATTTCTCAGGAGTCTTTACAGATTCATTGAGTATTTTTAACATGTATGTATGTATGTAGAATGGTCAATAAGGCTTTGTAAATCAACTGAGGCTGAATAATTAGTAGTTTGTATTCCACGAGGTATGCATAAATTTTCTTCCCTTACTTCACTATAAGTTGGATACAATTTGCTTCCTTTAGAAACTGCTCGAATGCAAATTGTTTGGTTATTGGCTTTACTAAATGGCAGTCCAAAATCAACGCTAATGCTTCCGCTCCAGTATAGATTTTCGTTGAATTAACTGCACCATCAATCTCTGATTTTAATATTTGCAATCTCAAGTGTAAAAATGTAAATTTGAAGATTGAGGTAAATACAATCCACTAAGAAAATTTATGTATCCCCCTGAGTATCTTTTTTTTTAAATAAACAGTATTGAGGTTAATGTACCTCGGCATAGCTGAAACTTTTTTCCTCTTTTAGTTTCAAAATAAGTGAGTAAAATAATTCCTCTCTTTTGACAGCAATATTTATTTTTTCTGCTCTTCTCTTTTTCATTTTTTCAGAAGCTTGGGTGAATGGTATGGAATTTGCACCTGGTGGGCTTTCGTAGAAAACTAATTTATATCAAAATATCATATAAAATATAATTTACATTAAATTATCATATAAAATTAAATATAAATATGATTGTATTTACTATAAACATTTGCTAAAACACAATTAAACGGTAAAAAATATCGTAAGATTATTACTTTAATTTTTATAAAACATCATATCTAAATTGTGAGAAGAGCAGGAAAAGCCAAGCACAAGTTTTGGCCCTTGTCTAGTTTATCTGTTTCAAAACATCCATTGCTTGTTTGTATTTCTTTTTCTAACCAGATTTTGTAATGCATCTTAAAGCTGTCCTTGTGTCTGTTTACTTTATTTCATTTTTTGTTAAACTGTTAAGAAAATAATTTGAAGTCTATCTCTGTAACTTTATAAGCATCAGAGTCGGTAAATGATTTGATTAAGTTGTTTTCGAAAGCATGAAACAATTTTTGAGTAATTTCTTTATTTTTCAAGTGATTGGTAGAAGAAAATTTCAAGTTAAAACTATAATTATAGTTTTTTAAAGTTTTTCAATAAAATTCGTATTTTACATAATTAAAAACATTATTGATAATTAGCTGAAATAAGTTTAACTTCATAGATAAAAAAACTGCATTACTTAATTAAAGTGGAATCGAAATATATTTTAATATTTTTTGCAGTTTCCGAAAATTGCAATTAACTATTTAGAGTTCAAACTTAACAACAGTGCACAGTGGGCCAAACAGCTGTTTTCACGGACATTGGTTTATAAAAAACTAAAAAATAATTTTGCTGCAGGATATTTAGGTCATAATTTAAAAGAACAAAATATTGAAAATTTTATAAAGTTTTCTTTTTTATAGGTTCTAACAAAAATACGTATAAATATTTATAAACATGTATGTATACTTTGCAATACAAAGATAACATAGGTACATCAACGGCAAAATAATAAAATTTATCAAAAGATTTATCAAAATAAAATATATAATTTATTCATATGGTAACATTTTAAATGTGTCATCTTCAGATAAAATGTTATTAGAGACATTTTTTTATAAGAATATTTATCAGAATGTCCTCATTCATACCAAAATTTGCAAAATGATTCTGACTTGAATCTCTTGTCAAAAAAATTTTGATTAGATGATATCCACATTCAGTTAATGGTGTATGTTAAATTGATAATATAGAAGTTTTTTGAAATTAAAAAATTTTCTTGAATGTTTAGTATGTATCAATCTTAATATTTGTTATTACCTTTTAACCCTGAATTATAAGGATTCCCCACGCTACTTTCCTCATTATTCAAAATTAGCGCCCAAGAAAGACTAATCAGTTTGTGATGTGATGGTGTTGTATTGATACATGGTCCAGGTAAGTTTTATTTTTGGTAACAGGTGGAAACTCCTTAAATAGAAATAAATAAAAATCTGTACAATAGAAATATACAAATATAACTATATTGATCCACATAAATTTTTCTTTTGAGGAAAATACTCAAAGAATTACTGAGAGCACCAATTCGAACTTTTAAAATGTTGCATGATATTAAACAGGCAATTGTGTAATAACTAAATCCCTTTTTGATTTTTTGTGCCACAGTTCTCTAGCTATGTAACCTGTTGTTGTTGTCCCTTTTTTTTCAATTTCATTAAGGTAGACCCATTTTATTCCTGTTTTTTTAATATCTCTGTTTGTAATGAAGTCTCTGCTTGCTTCAGAAAACTATTTGAAGCACTGAAAGGGGACTCAGAGCAATCAAAAACACCAGCTTTTACATGTACAACTATACCCAGTAAAGCATGAAGAACCTATAAAAGTATTGATAATTTCTTAATGTAATAGTTTTTAATATCAAGTATGTTCACAAATTAAAAATATAGAATAATATGAAAACTATTACAAGATACCAATTTCCTTGTTTTGGCTTTACATCACAGATTGAAATTGGTTTGATGTTTTGTCCAGCCCTTGTGATATAATAGGGTTTTT